AAATCGAACACGTTTGCGGTCAACTTACTGGAAGTAACCGCTTCTTTTTTTAATGTCTTCTTCTAGTACACGGCATAAACCTGACAGATCATTATTGCCATCATTTGACCACAATTATTACACACCAAAATATCTGCCGCTGCAGCTTCCTCTGCCCTTCTGCTATGTGGCCATAATGGTGACCTTTGAGAGTTAAAAGTGTCCTGCGGTCTACACTCAAAGTTGTTCATTTGTGAGGGGTGTCCTCACTTTTGTTGCCTGTGGTTTAGACATTATTGGCTTTGTGATGTGTTATTTTGAGGGGACAGCATTTCTTCAGTGTTGTCACATGAAAAGATAGAATTAAATATTTACAAAAATGTGAGGGGTGTACTCACTTTTGTGAGATACTGTATGTAATAATATAATCAGGCCGGCATATATCAGTGATCAGTCAGTGTTCTGTCACTCTACAGTTTTTATCCAGCATCACTCAGTCACATTAATTTTTGTTCAGAGCTTTGTGATATCAGATAAACTCACCGCTGAGCTCAGTACAGATGAGCTCACTGAAAGGTCGGGCAGAGACAAAGTTTAGCTAAAATTAGCAGCTAGCAGGAAATACAGCAGCAGGAAGTCTGAAAACAAGACCAGCAAAGGGTGAATTATAAATTTCAGTTTAATACAAAGGTTTATGACAAAACACTGATGTAAGCGGGTTTATCTGTTGGCCCTTGTTAAATAAACTGGTAATTCTCCTCCTTCTGTAGGAACCTGATGATCAAGAAGATGTTTTAATGTTTCAGCGATCACAGGTCGCCTTCTGTGGCAGAACTGTGCTGATGTGATCCATCGTTTTTCTCCAGAGAGAGAGGACTCTGAACATGGTGGCGGCGCTAACCTGCTGCTGCACTAACAGGTGAACCAGTCTGAACTTTTAGTAGGCGCCATCTGCCTCGACCTTTTGTTGCTTTGTCTTTCAAATGTCCCAGAGTTTCTCTCTACAGGTGTTGGGGATGTTATCCTGAGCTACACTCTGCACCCGACCATCAAACCCATCATCAACCATCAGTGGAAGGGAGGCTGCTGATCTGACATGTGATGCAAATCAGCCACGTCATTTTCTGTGGTGTCGACTGAAGCCGATGCTGCACGGACTGTTAAAGAGGAAGTGAAGCTGAAGGCGTCACTCTGCTGTTCAGACTGACTGACAGTCGACATCCAGACAACATGAAGGCTTCATCTGTGCTCTGCTGCTCGGTGAGTCCAACACAGAGCTTCTACATCCATTCATGCTAGTTATCTGCAATCCAAACTAAATAAATAAAAATAAAATGCAAAGAAAGGAAAAGCTGAGGATGAAGACAGATCATTAATGAGGTTAAGGTGAAATCGAGGATATTCAGTACGTTCAGCCTCGTCTCATCAGGCCCTAAATGTTCAACTTCAGCTCCTTTATTGTCAGAAGCACAACAATTACAGTGAAGCAATCGTTGGTAATGAATTTCTTAATTCTCAGGTTCCTCCAACAATGATCACACAATAAGTAGGAGTGAAGTTGTTGATGATTGCTGATCTACTTTTTTACTAAGTGACCCCTGTCTGCTTGCTGCAGGTTGGTTTGTGGCACTGTGGTCTGGACTGACTGTTTCTGCAGGTGAGCTGATGGAAGTGAAAACAATCACTGTCTGTCTGTCTGTCTGTCGGATCACCTGTCTGAAATTAGGGGTTGATTGTATCAATACATGCACACCAGTACCTCAAACGTTTCACTATAGCTCCTAACATGACCTCTGCGATCCGACCAACTTCTGACATTACTCCTACAGTTTCCATAGACTTTCAGTGGTTACACAGGCATCAGGCAATAAGCTGCTCTCTGCAGGACCCAGTGAAAATGGCCAGGCAAGTACTCTCAAAAGGTGACTGATTGTCAGGGGGCTCTATAGGAGTCTTGGTGGATTCCGCAAACGCAGAAATTGGGTTAACAGAATCAGAAACAAAGGCTCACAAACCCAAGCCTGTATCTTCTGGAGAGCAGGCTGGTTGTTAGCAGGCTGAGGTGTAAACTACAATGAAGGCTGGCTGCTGGCAGGTTCCTGGATTTCATGCAGAGGTTAGCAGGTTAAGGTGCAGGTTGAGAATAAGGGGTGTTGAGGAAGTTATTTGCCCACCCAGATAAGACACTTCCCTGTGTTCCACAGTCAGAGCTGCCTCTATACTCTCTGTTAGGAGCATTACTCCAACTACCTTGGAAGCACATGAGAGAGTAATGTCATGGAAATTGTGAATGACAATTGTGGCCACATGTTGGTGATAATCATCTTCCCGGTTCCAATTCGGGTAAGATGATAATCATGCAGCTCCTATTGACTTTCCAAATGTTATCGACCAAATGGATCAAATTCTGATAGTGAAACAAATCAACAGAGCAGTGTATAAAGTCCAGACACTCACAGTATATCTAAAATACTAGAGAGAGGCAAAAACCAATACACAAGCACTTGAAAACATGCAGAGATGCTTAGAAGAATAAGATGGAAAGACACTCAATAATCAAACAAGTGGGAAAGCCAGAGACAGGAAGAAAAGTAGATGATAAAAGAGGGTAAGGAAAATAACACAGTATAACAGGAAACAGAATAATGAATGACACATTCCTGTTGTATTAATAAGTTGTAGACTGTTAATTAAGCAAGAGCAGCACTAGGCAACAGAGGCAAGGAAAAATTTCCTGTAAGGGGGCGGCCAGAGAGAGAGAGAGCCATAAAGAACGAGAGGGGTGGGGGGGGAGCAGCCTACACAGTATCCACACAGACAGTAAAGATAATGTTGGTACAGACTGAATGAATAATGGTACAGATATTTATAGAAATGTTAATGATAATAATAGCAATAATAATTACAATAGGACTAGTAACAATAATGTAGCAGAGGATGTTGAGCAGGAACATGGGGGCAGCAGGTGACCCGCAACCACAGATCCAGACTCCACAGCTCCAGAGCCAGAAACACCTGCAGGAAGTGACAGGAGGAGAGAGGAGAGGACGAGAAAGCACAAGACTACCAGAAAGGGGAGAAGTTGTGTTAGTAACATGCAATAATGGGATATCAAATGCAGCACTAAGATCTAATAAAACAGTACAGAGACAAGTCCTTTGTCTGATGCAATAAGGAG